ACATTGCGCTCCGACATAATGTGCTTCTCCTGAAAACATAAGAAATCATCAATGTTTAGTACACTTGCTTGGTAACAGCAGTAAAAATATATTTGATGGCCATCGCAATGGCATTGTGAAGAAGCAGCTTACCTCCTTCTTCTTCAGGATTGCTTTTTTCTGCAGGACTTTAACAGCGTAGAACTGCTCTTCTGCCTTATGCCGTGCAAGGAGAACCTGAAAGAGGACAAAAATGCCAGAACTGAGCAACACTGGAATACTGAAATGCTGGAAACAAGCCTTTATGTTAACTGCTGTGCGCTGCTACATCCCCCTGGTTCAAAGTGCAAGCCCTTTGCTGGAAATGCCCAATGCTATTTATTACCACTCCGGCAGATAGATCTAGCCCCAAGCTTTTACGTCGACTTCCCTTCCCCTCCAAAAACGAAGTATATATTCTCCCCAGCACCACTGCCTCCTCGCTCCCCTGCTCTTTTATGACTCTTTCAAACGCAGCACCCTGCTCCCTCTCCCCGCAGCTACGCAGGCGCCAGGCACTGGGCGGCGAGGCATGCTCGGGTCTGGTTTAAATGACCACCATTTACCAAAGCCAGTACAAACCTGACCCTCAAGCACTACATTTGAGTGCTGAAGAGTAAATAAATTACAGCAAAAAGAATTTAGACTTACCTTCCCAAAACTGCCTTTTCCAATCACTTTTAAGAAATGGAAGTCTGATGGTTTGGCATGCGGGTTGGATGACGGACCAAGATTGATCTGCTGTGAAGGACTGGGCTAGAAAAATAAACAGACAGAAACCACATTTACTAAAACAGCTTGGTAGTGAGAGTCTCAGCAATGTCTCATTTTTAAAAATATAAATAAAGTGACCTTGAAAGTGAATAATAGCACTCTTCTTACCACTAAAAATTTAATCTTGACCTCTGCCAGAGATCTGAAACTATCGAGCACTGCCTACCAAGAGTGTAACAGCCATAGTTTACTTCAAAGTTCTTGTTGAGGTCTTAGCCACATTCTATAATGAAGTTAACAACCAATAAAACTTATTTTTAAGGTTTTTTTCTCCATGTTGGGAAAAAGTTTCAGTCTAACTTGATCACTCTTTTTCCCAGTTACATTAGTATGCTGAACTAAAGTAACACTCGTGAAGCTGATTTTGCTACACTTCTGTTACTGGCAGATTTGATGTTCTAAAAATGTTTCACCCAGTAAATTCTACTTACCGGAGGAGAGGGATTAGCATTCATAAGTTCAGGCTCTTGAGGCTGGGAGATTTTCAAGATAGACTGAACTTCAGGGCTGCAAGGACAAGAGCATGCATGATTAGAAGAGTTACCAGAAACATCAGGCAGATCTTTCCGCTAGAGGGCATGCACGCATCGCGAAAGATGAGTTTTGGTTTGAGCTATTACAGAAGGCAACTGAAACAGTCTATTCGACTTAAGGAGTAAAATTAATCTAGAGAAAGTAAACTCTGTCATAAAAAGAAATTTATTTATACTGTAAGCACAGTTCAAAAGAGGGATGGGGCTCTTAGGAATCCCATCCAACTGACTTCTCCCAAACCCAGCTCACGAAGATTTGTTGCCAAGTGAGTAATACCTCAAGAAGATCAATTAACTCTTCCGTAACAGTCATGCCAGAGGTATGACAGTAAACAAACATTTTTTTTAACTAGATCTCACAGTATGTAGTGATATTTATGACTGAAATCCAGCCAAAATTTCTGATACTTACTGCTTGCATGCATAGGAGTTGGTGGCTATCTTCTGAATGAAGTCGTTTAGCCCCATTCTTCTCTGCTTCATGAAAGCTATAAAAGGACAGGGAAAGGAGAAATAAAATCGTTAAGCCATCCTGCAAGAAAAATCAAACCTCGTCCCCTGAGCATCCTCGGAGAAGTACCCCCCGCCGCTCACCGATGAGGATGGCCACCATCCCCCTCATCTTCGAGTAGGTCAAGGTAGGACCAGACGCCTCGGCTGCTTTCACGGTCATTTTGGAGCGAGGGGCTGGGGAAGGGGGGGTATGTGTGTGGGAAGGATAAATACCCAGCGTACGATACCACCGGCTCCCAGCACCGCACTGCCGGGGCGAGGTACCCGACGGCG